TCACACTTTGTTATCTTAACACATAGGGGGTGCCACCACCTGTCTCCAGACAACATGGAACCACACTTTCCCAAAGCTCCTGCTGTGGTTCTCCTTTCCAAAGAGAGACTGTCTGAACTAACTTTTTATAGTCCAGAGAGTGAATTTAAAATCATTTTTCTTCTTTGCTTCCGTCTGTGAACCAAGATATCAACTAGACGTCTTAGGAAAGGTCTGCAACATGGAAGTCTTAACTATAGCAATGCTACTCCTCAGCTGTGGCTCAGGAGTGGTGTTCTCTGCAAACTCTTTAGTGGTCCATGAGATCAGTTCAGAAATTGAGAATCCATGCTTAGTAGCTTTCATGCCAATTTGACAGAATAATCTGTTGGATCGAATAACTTAAAAGTGAGCTTGGATCAAAAGAGACAAAGAAGGGCATTACATAATGGTAAAAGGATCAGTGCATCAAGAAGAACTAACGATCCTAAACATATACACACCCAATACAGGAGCACCCAGGTATGTTAAGCAAGTTCTTCATGACCTACAAAGAGACTTAGACTCCCACACAATAATAGTGGGAGACTTTAACACTCCACTGTCAATATTAGATTAACGAGACAGAAAATTAACAAGGCTATCCAACCTTGCAGATCTGGACCAAGCAGACCTAATAGACATCTACAGAACTCTCCACCCCAAATCCACAGAATATACATTCTTCTCAGCACCGAATTGCACCTACTCTAAAATTGGCCACATAATTGGAAGTAAATCACTCCTCAGCAAATGCAAAAGAATGGAAATCATAACAGTCTCTCAGACCACAGGGCAATCAAATTAGAACTCAGAATTAAGAAACTAACTCAGAACTGCACAGTTTCTTGGAAACTGAGCAACTGGCTCCTGAATGTTGACTGGATAAACAATGAAATGAAGGCATAAATAAAGATGTTCTTTGAAACCAACGAGAATGAAGACACAATGTACCAGAATCTCTGGAACACATTTAAAGCAGTGTCTAGAGGGAAATTTATAGCAATAAGTGCCCATATAAGAAGCAAGGAAAAATCTAAAATTGACACCCTATCGTCAAAGTTGAAAGAGCTAGTCGAACAAGATCAAAAAGACTCAAAAGCTAGCAGAAGACAAGAAATAACTAAGATCAGAGCAGAACTGAAGGAGATAGAGACACAAAAAACCCTTCAAAAAAAATCAGTAAATCCAGGAGCTGGTTTTTTGAACAGATCAACAAAATAGACAGACTGCTAGCCAGATTAATAAAAAAAGAAAAGCGAGAAAACCAAATTGATGCAATAAAAAATGGTAAAGGGGATATCACCACCGATCCCACAGAAATACAAACTACCATCAGAGATCACTACAAACAACTCTATGCACATATACCAGTAAACCTGGAAGAAATTGATGAATTCCTGGACACTTGCACCCTCCCAATCCTAAACCAGGAAGAAGTTGAAACCTTGAATAGACCAACAACAAGGGCTGAAGTTGAGGCAGCAATTAATAACCTATCAACCAAAAAAAGCCCAGGTTCAGACAGGTTCACAGCTGAATTCTACCAGATGTACAAAGAGGAGCTGGTACCACTCCTTCTGAAACTATTCCAAGCAATACAAAAAGAGGGAATCCTTCCCAAATCATTTTATGAGACCAACATAAAATGATACCAAAACCCGGCAGAAATTCAACAAAAAAAAGAAAACTTCAGGCCAATATCCATGAGGAACATAGATGCAAAAATCTTCAATAAAATACTGGCAAACCGATTGCAACAGCATATCAAAAAGCTTATCCAACATGATCAAGTAGGCTTCATTCCAGGGATGCAAGGCTGGTTCAACATACGCAAGTCTATAAACGTAATTCACCACACAAACAGAACCAAAGACAAAAACCACATCATTATCTCAATAGATGCAGAGAAGGTCTTTGACAAAATTCAACAGCCCTTTATGCCAAAAATTCTCAATAAACTAGGTATCAAAGGAACATATCTCAAAATAATAAGAGCTATTTACAACAAACCTACAGTCAATATCATACTGAATGGGCAAAAACTGGAAGTATTCCCTTTGAAATCTGGCACTAGACAAGGGTGTCCACTGTCACCACTCCTATTCAATATAGTATTGGAAATTCTAGCCAGAGCCATCAAGCAAGAAAAAAATAATAAAGTGTATTCAATTAGGAAAAGAGGAAGTCAAATTGTCTCTATTTGCAGATGACATGATTGTATATTTAGAAGATGCCGTCATCTCAGCCCAAAATCTCCTTAAGCTGATAAGCAACTTCAGCAAAGTCTCAGGATACCAAATCAATGTGCAGAAATCACAAGCATTTCTATACACCAATAGCAGACTAACAGAGAGCCAAATCATGAGCGAACTCCCATTCACAATTGCTACAAAGAGAATAAAATACCTAGGAATACAACTAACAAAGGATGTAAAGGACCTCTTCAAGGAGAACTACAAACCACTGCTCAAGGAAATACTAGAGGACACAAACAGATGGAGAAACATTCCATGCTCATGGTTAGGAAGAATCAATATTGTGAAAATGGCCATAATGCCCAAAGTAATTTATAGATTCAATGCTATCCCCATCAAGCTACCAATGAGCTTCTTCACAGAACTGGAAAAAACCACCTTAATCTTCATATGGACCCAAAAGAGAGCCCACATAGCCAGGACAATCCTAAGCAAAAAGAACAAAGCCGGAGGCATCATGCTACCTAATTTCAAACTATACTACAAGGCTACAGTAATCAAAACTGCATGGTACTGTTACCAAAACAGAGATATAGACCAATGGAACAGAACAGAGGCCCTGGAGGCAGTGCCACACATCTACAGCCATGTGATCTTTGACAAAAATGGGCAATGGGGAAAGGATTCCCTGTTTAATAAATGATGTTGGGAAAACTGGCTAGCAGTGTGCAGAAAGCAGAAACCGGACCCCTTCCTGACACCTTACACTAAAATTAACTCCAGATGCATTAAAGACTTAAACATAAGACCTAATACCATAAAAACCATAGAAGAAAACCTAAGCAAAACCATTCAGGACATAGGCATAGGCAAGGACTTCATGACTAAAACACCAAAAACATTGGCAACAAAAGCCAAGGTAGACAAATGAGACCTAATTAAACTCCAGAGCTTCTGTACAGCAAAAGAAACAATTATTAGAGTGAACTGGCAACCAACAGAATGGGAAAAAATTTTTGCAATCTACCCATCTGACAAAGGGCTAATATCCAGAATCTACAAAGAACTAAAGCAGATTTACAAGAAAAAAAAAAAAAGCATCCAAAAGTGGGCTAAGGATATGAACAGACACTTTTCAAAAGAAGACATATATGAGGCCAACAAACATATGAAAAAATGCTCATCATCACTGATTATTAGAGATGCAAATCAAAACCACATTGAGATACCACCTCACGCCAGTTAGAATGCCAATCATTAAAAAATCTGGAGACAACAAATGCTGGAGAGGATGTGGAGAAATAGGAATACTTTTACACTGTTGGTGGGAGTGTAAATTAGTTCAACCATTGTGGAAGACAGTGTGGCACTTCCTCAAGGACCTAGAAATAGAAATTCCATTTAACCCAGCAATCCCATTACTGGGTATATACCCAAAGGATTATAAATCATCCTATTATAAAGACACATGCACACGTATGTTCATTGTGGCACTGCTTACAATAGCAAAGACCTGGAACCAACCCAAATGCCTATCAACAATAGAATGGACAAGGAAAATGTGGCCCATATATACCATGGAATACTATGCAGCCATAAAAAATGATGAGTTTGTGTCCTTTGTAGGGACATGGATGAATCTGGAAACCATCATTCTCAGCAAACAGACACAAGAACAGAAAATCAAACACCGCATGTTCTCACTCATAGGTGGGTGTTGAACAATGAGAACACATGGACACAGGGAGAGGAGCATCACACATTGGGGTCTGTTGTGGGGCAGCCAAAGGGACAGCGGGGGGATGGGGAGGTTGGGGAGGGATAACATGGGGAGAAATGCCAGATGTAGGTGATGGGGAGATGGAGGCAGCAAATCATACTGCCATGTGTGTACCTATGCAACAATCCTGCATGATCTGCACATACACCCCAGAACCTAAAGTACAATAAAAAATAAAATTTTTTAAAAAGTGAGCTTGCACTTTGTATCAGTATCTTTTCATTTCATTTTTTATCAGTTTATTTTTACTATATTTTATGAAAGTGGCGTGGCCTGATTGCTCCCAGCGCTTTGGGAGGCCGAGGCAGGTGGATCATGAGGTCAGGAGATTAAGACCATCCTGGCTAACACAGTGAAACCCCGCCTCTACTAAAAATACAAAAAAAAATAGCTGGGCATGGTGGAGCACACCTGTAGTCCCAACTACTTGGGAGGCTGAGGCAGGAGAATTGGTTAAACCTGGGAGACAGAGGTTGCAGTGAGCCAAGATCACGCCACTGCACTCCATCCTGGGCGACAGAGCAAGACTCCAGCTCAAAAAAATAAAATAAAAGTGTTCATCTGTAATGGTTTGGAAATTTTTTTTAAAAACTGATCCTTCATGACAAGTAAGTTGAGAAGCTCTATGCCAAGGCACCTGTAAGCTGCTGTAGCTCCCCTTAAGGAAAGTCAGCTGTGAACGAATGTGGGGAATCACAGAACTTAGCAAATTATATTCTAATGAAACTCAGGTCTCCCTGTCCCTCTCTCTGACTGTTTCCCACATGCAGGAACTGCATGCAATTCATCTCTGTGGCCTCATTCCTCAGTGCCCTGTCTGGCACATTGCAGGCCTTTGGAAACGTTTGTTGAATGCATGCCTGTCTGCTTCCTTGTTACCTAAGAGTGGGTGAGGACAGCCTCAGGAATTTCCCTGGGATTTCTGGTAGTGTCTTCTCCAGGAGGTGATGGAGAACTAGGGGCAAATGTGAGGAAATGACCTTTCCTTCTTCTTTTCCCCACAGGACCAGGTCTCCTCTTCCCACCTGCCCAGCAGCATGAAAGCAGCATGACTGGCCGACCACAGGAGAAGCCCCCAGAACCAGGCCCCCAACTCAGCCATCTGCTGCGGAGGTCAAGGTGAGCTTGCTTTCTTTCTTCTGGAAGGCTGAAGAATTTTCATTTTAACACATTCTGCATGCATTTGTAATCCCTCGCTATGCGCTAGAAGAAGGAGGTTTCCTCAGTTGAGGGTAGACTTAGAAAGTGCCTGTCAGCCTTACAGGTTAAAGCGTGCTCACTCTGGTTAAAGGAGAGGCTGATATGGAGCAGAAAGGACTGAGGTGAGTGTCTGGAATGGAACTCTTCTTCTTCTTCTACCGCCACCTGAATCTGGGATCTTAGACAAATCTTTTAGGATGGGGTATCCCGGGAATTTTGAATGAAAAAAATCTCTGAGGCAGGATAGAATCGGAAAGACTACTCCGTCCATGATCTGAGACTCCCAGTACCTGCCAGTCTTCTGTCTCACACAGAGTCATAAGGGGCCTTAGACGATCCGTCAGGCCAGTTTCCAGCCAGGATTGGACAGTTAGTTGTTAGAAAGTTCTGTCTGCTGGTCTCTGCTCTGCCATTCGGAACCACAAACACTTGGCTTTCAAAGACTCTTCCACATGCCTCTCTCATTGGGTTTGAAGATTTGAAGATTTGGCTGTCATGACTCCGTCTTTCTTTTTTGGGTATAAATTCTCTCTAGAGACTGGTGCCAGTCACCTTGTCCTCTCGTCCCCTCCATGTTGGAAAGGGCTTTAGTGACCTCCAGCATCTGCCTTGCTGGTTGCTCATGCAACCTGCACCATCTTCAGTAGAGAATCCTTCCTTCACCACTCATTCTTCAGTGGCTATTTACAGCCTCCTTTGTGACAGGCACCGTGCTAGACTCTGCAGATAAATCAAAGAACAAGAAAGACAGGGTCTCTGTCTTTTAAGACAAAATAGGTTCGGGTCCTTAGAGAGAGTTTGAAATATGCATTGAACTACTTCCATGTGCTCCTTTTTTACATTTTTATCTCTGCAACTTCTTTCTTAAATGTTCCATAAGTGCTTGAAAAAAAATTTTTTAATATTGGATATAGTTTCCTATATGCCATCACTGAAAAATAAGTTAGCTTGTTGTGTAGCTCAATTCATCTATAATATACCCTTTTCTGATTTTGTCTGATTATCAATTATTGAGAGAGTTGTGTTAAAGTCTCCCACTGGATTTGTCAGTTGATCCTTGCAATGCTGACATTTTTGCTTTATATATATTTGAGGTAATGCTCTTTGGTGCATAGGTGTTTAGAATTGGTGTATTTTATTGATGAATTGGGATTTATTTCTACCATCTTTATATGCGTTTAATTTTTTTCCACCCTTTCTTTTAGGTTGAGGCATTTTCCCCCCTCATTCTGTTTTCCATCATCTTATTTGGAATTTACACAGCCTATGTTTGTTATTTCTGGGGTTACCCAGCTAGCTAGCTGGATAGATGATTGATGATTAGATAGATAGATAGATAGATAGATAGATAGATAGATAGATATTTTTAGAGACAGGGCCTTAGCTTTTTTTCCTTTCCTTTTTTTTTTTTTTTTTTTTGAGACAGAATCTTGCTGTATCTCCCAGTCTGAAGTACAGTGGTACAATATCTGCTCACTACACCTGCATCTCCTGGGCTCAAGCAATTCTCCTGCCTCAGCCTCCTGAGTAGCTGGGACTACAAGTGCCCACCACCATGCCCAGCTAATTTTTGTGTTTTTAGTAGAGATGGGGTTTCACCATGTTTGCCAAGCTGCTCTCAGCTCCTAACCTCAAGTGACCTACCTGTCTCTGCCTCCCAAAGTGCTGGCATTACAGGCGTGGGCCACTGCGCTCAGCCTATTTTGTATTTTTCATTTCTTTGTCTCTCTGTGCTGAACTCTGAATAATTTATTCAAATCTATCTTCTGGCCGGGAAAGTGGCTCATGCCTGCAATCCCAGCACTTTGGGAGGTCGAGGCTGGCAGATCACTTGAGGTCAGAAGTTCAAGACCAACCTGGCCAACATGGTGAAACCTTGTCTTTACTAAAAATACAAAAATTAGCCAGGCGTGTTGGTGCACACCTATAACCTCAGTTACTCTGGAGGCTGAGGCCAGAGAATCACTTGAACCCAGGAGCCAGAGATTGCAGTGAGCCAAGATTGCGGCACTGCACTCCAGCAGGGCAACAAAGCCAGACTTTGTCTCAAAAACCAAACAAACAAACAAAAAACTATTTTCTATTTAACTAATTTATTCTGTGTCTTAAATGCTGTTTAACCCATCATTGAATTTTTTCTTTTTGCTTTCTTTGTCATTTCTAGAAGTTCTGCTTGGTGATTTTTCTGGTCTCTCATTTCTTGCTCTTATTTGAAAATGTTTATTTCTTTAAAATATTGAATTTGCTACTTAGAAAGTTTACAATTTGTGTCTGGTAATTCCCAGATCTGAAGTCTTTGCAGGTCTGATTCTGCCACTTGTTTCTGCTAGCTAGTAGTCATAATGCCTTGTTTCCCGTGAATTGCTCATTTTTTTTTTCTTGGCGTTTTATCTTTGGGAATTATCTGAGGTGTGGGTTGAAGTTGGTTTTTCCAGAGAGGATTTGCATTACTTCTACTAGTTGTCTGGTGGGTACTACCAACCAAAAGTCACTTTAAATTAATTTTCTAATTAAGGCTTTTCTGGCTACCCAAGTAATATCATTCAGACTACAAACCTGTGTGAAGTCCAGCTATGGTTACAAATTTCCAGGAGAGAGTTTTTACCCCCATTCTACTCAGCCCAAGGTCAAGTTTCCCTTCAGTCTCTTTCTGTGTTGTGTGTTTATTTCTCATTCACCAAGCGGCATGAATTCTGCGGCGTGGAGTCCCAGCTTTATGGAGGGGTCTCTCTAGGCTTTTAATCCTGTGCTGCTGTCATTGGGAAACAGAATTTCCAGCTTTCAGCAGAAGCCCTCAGAGCAAAAGCCAGCTTTGATGCCAGCTCACCTCCCACTCCCAAGGTTCCTGCTTTGGGTTTGTTTTGGTCTTTTCATTTGTACTATCTCGGCAGTGTGTATTCAGTCTTTGTATCTAAAATTGTACCCAGCATATTAGTTCTCTGAATTAGGAGGGTCAAGTAAGGTATCTGGCCTGCCGTATTGCCAAAATGTATTTTTTTCTTCTCCACAATAGTCTTTTTGGGCAGGAATTTGCGTTTCTTCTTCACAGAAGAGTGACCTGAAGCTCAGAGCGGGTATGTACTGGCTACAGCCGTAGGCCTAGCAGGTGAAAGACTAGGAGAGAATATGTCCTTCTCCTCTCATCTCTCCCCATTTTCCCTCTCCCCAAGATAACTCTTGGCCATTGGCGGGGACAACCTTTATTCTCACAAAGAATATGAGTTGCTACCAAAAGGCTTTAAAAAGCGGAACAGCTTTGTACAGTTTATTTATGAATCTATTGTTTGTCTTCCTTGAGGGAGGAAATGACTTCTGCATATTTTGTGGCTTGTTTGTCTGGCAGTCAGCAGCAGCTCTCCTGCATCATCCCCATTCTGGAAAAGGGCTCCTGAACCTGAAGGCAGATCCCATGTGCTTCCTGTCCAGACCCTGGCTTCCTTTCCTCCTTATGCCACTCTCTCCTTCTTCTCACCTTCTTCCCTTCCCTCTGCTGCTTCTTCCTTTTCCATCTCTCCCTATCCTTCCTGCGACTGGTTTTTCTTTTTCCTGGTGGTGTACCTTTTGTTGGAGGGAAGTCTACAGATCACAGTGGTTTGGCTTTTGGGCTTTGAGGGGCAGGGAGAAAGAGCTGAGTTTGAACCTAGCTCTGCCAACTAGCTGAACCTCTCTGGGCTTCCATTTATTTCTTCATTGGTCACGTGGGGACCGTGGATAGAGCTGTTCAGGGACTTAATGAAATGATGCCTGTAGAGCTTGTAATACAGAGTTTGGACATCATTAGCACTTGGTTAGTGGTGGTTCATGTAACTATGATTGAGAACAGACCGCTTCAAGGCCAGTGTTATTGTTGGTGATGCTTTTTTTTTTTTTTTTTGAGACAGAGTCTTGCTCTAAAGCCCAGGCTGGAGTACAATGGCACGATCTTGACTCACTGCAACCTCTACCTCCTGGGTTCAAGCGATTCTCCTGCCTCAGCCTCCTGAATAGCTGAGACTACGGGAGTGCACCACCACACTCAGCTAATTTCTTATATTTTTAGTAGAGATGGTGTTTCACCGTGTTAGCCAGGATGGCAGGCTGGTCTCGATCTCCTGACCTAGTAATCTGCCTACCTTGGCCTCCCAAGGTGTTGGGATTACAGGCGTGAGCCACCACGCCCAGCCGGTGATGCTTCAGCTGGTTAAGCTTTTAACTTGACAAAGACGATTTATAAAATGGGATGAAAAAAGAGGCAGAAATCTCATGTAGATGTGGGAATCCCAGCTTTGCTATGATGTTCTTTGAACTGGGGTGTTTTTTAAAAAAATCTGAGGGGGGCCAGGCATGGTGGCTCACACCTATAATCCCAGCACTTTGGGAGGTCGAGGAGGGTAGATCACAAGGTCAGGAGTCTAAGACCAGCCTGGCCAATATGATGAAACCCCATCTCTACTAAACAAACAAACAAACAAAAAACAATTAGCCACTCATGGTGGCATATGACTGTAATCCCAGCTACTCAGGAGGCCGAGGCAGGAGAATCACTTGAACCCAGGTGGCGGAGGTTGCAGTGAGCCAAGATTGCACCGCTACGCTCTAGCCTGGGCAACAGAGCAAGACTCCACCTCAAATAATAATAATAATAATAATCCGAGGGAATATAGAAAACACTGGTCTGGCCAGTGTTTGTGGAGTATGTAAACCAGGGATTCTGAAAATGGGGCCTAGACCTCCACACTCCAGATCTTGGGACTCCTGCTGAGCTGTGCCCTGTGTCCTGGTGCCATGGTGGGGCTGGGGCTGCATGGACTCTGTGGTGTAGAGGCTTCCCTTGCAGGACCCCCAGATCAAAGGATGGCATTACTGCTCTGAGGATGAGTTTTCAGCAGTGATGGGACTGGGGGAGGAGGGTCTTCAATGTCCTTTAGCTCTATTCCTAC